TGGGGAGGGGGAGGGGTTGGGCAGGGGGGTGGGCGGGGCTGGGGGCCGTGGAGTGTCCTCCATTTGGAGGCACAAAATATGGTAACCCTACATATATATCACAACACATACTCTTCCGTTCTTTTGAGTTCTAGTGGGTGGGTGTGTAGACACTAGAGGACATTAGCAAAGATAAGCCATAAAAGTCTTAAATTTCAGAGCAGGTCCTACAGTGAGGTCTCTACTAAAGGTTGGAGAGAGACCAGTTGGAGTCACACATTTTAATGCACTCAGGTTCTACTGTTCTTTCCAGGGGCTAAAAATTAGGTTCCAGAGGAACCTCAGATGAGTCCAGCATCTCTGCTGGAGAAAGCATTCACACCTCCCCATTCCACCAGAGATCTACTGGAACAGCTAGGCAGGCCCCCACCACACAGCACACAGCCAGAGCCCCCCCTCACTTTGAGATTTTAAACTACAGCAAGCCAGGAAATTCAGTTCCTTCCCAGTAGTGCAACTCAGACTCCTTGTAAAGATGTCGTGTTTGGTCTCAATGCAGGTCATTGTAAGTTCCAAGGCACAGTTGCTACAAAAACTAGGTTTGCCTTTATGTAGCGTTTTGCCTTTAAATACAAGAAGGCATCAGGAAAAACCCTAGCTTTTGCTAGGAAAGATTTGCAAGTGTAGCTACGCCAGCATATCTTCCAAGTACAGATGCAGTTTATACTATCCATAAAAGAAGTTTATACAGGAATAGCTTATACCTGTTCCCAGGTAAAATAAGCTGTACTGGCAAAACACCTTTAGCCTGGTCTGTCTCTACATGAGGACTTGCCAGTGTAGAAACTAGCGAGGAAGTTTTGGCTGGTACTTCGAACAAATGATACTGCAAAGTCCCCGAAAGTTCACTTTGGGGGTGGGGATGCAAAGAGTTGCAGCCTATTGCACTTGTACAGACATGAGAGTATCTGAGCAACTCACATTCTTTCACGTATCATAGAAGATTAAGGTTGGAAGAGCCCTCAGGAGATCATCTAGTCCAACCCCCTGCTCAAAGCAGGACCAACACCAACTAAATCATCCCAGCCAGGGCTTTGTCAAGCCAGGCCTTAAAAACTTTTAAGGATGGAGATTCCACCACCTCCCTAGGGAACCCATTCCAGTGTTTTACCACCCTCCTAGTGAACTAGTGTTTCCTAATATCCAACCTAGACCTCCCCTACTGCAACTTGAGACCATTGCTCCTTGTTTTGTCATCTACTCAGAAGCAGGGAAGTGCTATTATCCCTATTTCACTGATGGGGATTGAGGACCAGAGTGACTTGCCCAAGACCCAGTTACAAGTCCAATGGCTGGAAGCGGAAGCTAGACAAATTCAGACTGGAAATAAGGTGTAAATTAACAGTCAAGGTAATTAACCACTGGAACAATTTACCTGAATCTCCATCACTCTCAGTTTTTAAAATCAAGACTGGGTTTTTCCCTAAAAGTTCAGCTCCAGGAATTATTTTGGGAAGTTCCACAGCCTGTGCTCTAGAGGTCAGACTAGATGATCCCAATGGTCCCTTCTGGCCCTGCACTCTATAACTCTAGTCTCACAACAGTACCTTAATGACTGGGGCATCCCTTCCTCTCTAGCCTAAAAGGCAGTTTTCTTTAGAGTTCTAGATGCCTGCAAAGTAGCCTCGTGGGAGCCTTCTCAACTTCTGGGCTGCTCCACACCCCCAGCAAAAAGCGACTGCACTATTGTAAGTTCTGAAAGTGAGAGTATCCGACTCTTGTACAGACCTTGAACAGTTGCACGTGAGGTCTATTTCTTCCTACATATTAGTTCCACTTATCCAGTCTCTCCCTCTTCCCCAACTCATTCATGGAATACTGGTAGTTGCTCTGTGAAAGTAGCCCCATTTCTCAAGATGCCAGCCGTTCAGAAATGGGCTGTGATGGGGGAGAGCCCTGCAGCGAGCACGACTCAGCTTTGCTTGGACAGGCAGCAGGAAAGGACTCTCTACAAGCAGTTTTACAAACACAAGTACATAATGTTTATTTTTAAATTTCCAATTTATTACAAGTACAGCCCTTAGCAGAACCCCCCTCCCCCCAAATGACAATTTTTTTTTTTAAATAATGTACAGTTCCAAAGGTTTCACTGGGTAGGAGCTGCACAAAATGGTCAGTATTAACAAGACAAAACAATGCTTTCAAGGGGGTGTCAAACACAAGTGTCAGTGCTAGTTCTGTGGAATAGGATGGCGGGGCTGGGGGGAGGAGAGAAGGAGGCTGGAATTCTGCTATAGGCTCACAACAGTGACTGACAGTCCAGGCGTGAACCAAGTGCTTGGTTTAAAAAACAAAAACAAGTACACAACATTGGGCTGCCATCTTCATTAACCTTTTTATTCTCAAATCATAGGAGTTGCACCAGGTTTTTTTAAATTTAATGATCAGTACAGAATAGCCACACAGCTATTTTGTTCCAATTTAAAGACATAATAAGATGTTCAAACCCTGATTTTGTTAGACCAAAATATGTCATAAGGAGGGAGAGGCAAAAAAAGTTTTGCTTAAACAGAAATCAATAACTCAAGTGGCACAAGCTGTTGGGGACGCATGGCAGAGCAATGTCTCTCTCCCCAGCACAACCTCTTTCCCACTAGTCAACTGCTGTGTAAGTCAGAGTTCGCCCTTCTGCGCGTTACAGGGCGTGGCAGGTGGGTTGGGGGGGGGAAGAGAGGCTGAGTTAGTGGAGGTATTACTATAAAAGTAGAGAGTAAATCTAGAAAAGGGTCAGTGAGACTCCTCCCCTCCCTCCCCAAACAAATCTCCCAGCTGAACTCCAACTACTGAGAGGAAAACAAGAGTTTTAGAGGGAAAAATATAAAGCAAACACATTTTCATATAAACTGTACTGTACATGTGCCAAAGCAAGACAAAGGTATCTTACAAGGTGTTCTTTATACAAGCTCACTGCTAGAAACAAGTGACTTAAACTAGAAAATTAATTTAAAAAGTTACACAGAACAAGTTTCTGCTGCTTCCCCTCCCGGGGTTTTCTACGGGATGTGGGGGAATGCCATGTCTCTGATATGCCTCTGGCATTTGGTTCATCCACTTGAAGGGCTACATGATTATGTGCTGTTAAAGGTGAGCAGGGGAACCAACCGTCTATTCTTTGCCATGTCCAAGTGGAGCGCTGCAGTCAGAAGAAAGAACAAGCTCCTCAGAGCACGACCTCAGGAGACCGCTCCCCAGAAGAAACAGAGGAGAGAAACAAGAGCACCTCAAAGCCATTTGTATTATGATGCTGGTGAAAGCCATACCTCCATAAATGTAAGTGCTTTGCTCACTCGACGTGTCCCTTCACTGGGGGCTCAAAATTAACACCATATAAATATACACATACAAGAACTAACGGCCATTGGCCTGATCACACTCCATCCTTCTGTGATGGAACATGATCCTTCCCCATGCTAGATGAGGGCTGGTTTCACATCACAGGCAGCAGATGGCAGGAGGTCCCACAGCGCTCCAGTGTTGGCTGCTCAGCTAAAGGGGAAGGAAGCAGCTCCATTCCGAGAAAGCAGATCGCACTCCAAACTGGAGGAGACTTCACACTCCCCTGTCCAATGAGGCTTAGGCCAGTTCTTCCGCTTGCCCTCCCACCTTCTTCTAGCAGGACAATCCCAGAAGAGCTTTATATATTTTGCTGGAAGCAGTAAGTCACCTCTGCTCACTTGATGGATGGCCAAATACTTCAGGAAGATACAGAGAAATTACAAACTAGAACTGGTCACGGGAAAGGCTGGATTAATAAAGAAGTGTCTGCTGCTTCCTAAATCCCTTCAGACAGCCAAGCCTGCTGCCCAGCAGCACCAGAAGGCCTGCTCCAACTCTGTCTCCCTCCAGTCTCCCTGCCCCTCATTTCTTTCTCTTTCGCCCCCTGGAATGTTCAGTGGCCTCTGACTCACTGTCCCCTTCCTGCTCCTCTAGTCCCTGGCGCCTGGCAGAGGGCTTCTTGCGTTTTCTGCGGGAGTACGTATGGCCAGGCAAGTGTTTGTGCAGCATGTCAATCAAACACTGTTCTGTCTTCTCCAGGCAGGACAGTACGTGGCTCCCATTCTGATTGTAGTGCTCAGCGTTGGAGAACACCTGTTTGATGTCAGAGAGGAACTCTAGCACAGAGCGATAGCTGCCACATGAGCACTTGCTCTGCATAGTCTGGAAGTCCATGGGGTTGCTGATGACCTCAAAGTAATCTTCAGCTTCCTCTGTGGTCACTGGCTCCCTGCCGAGGAAGGAGTCATAAAGACAGGAGAAGAATTAGTGTCAGACACTGGCATTACCTAGATACTAGCAGGACACTCACAGAAACCGTCCATATCCACTGACACGGACCTGCAGCTCCCAGCTGCACCACAAGAAACCTTGGTGCCTAGAGCCCTTACAAATCAACCAATACCCAGCACCCCGAGAGGTGGGAGCTTACAGACGGAGAAACTCAGGCAGTTAACGTGCCTTGCCCTTCATAGAAGGGAACTGGCAGCAGAGCTGAATTTGAACTCTGGAGATGACTATATGCACTACAACATGCTTCCTCTGGAAGGAACACTGAGTGGTTTTGGGTGGCCCAATGCTCGGTACTGTGCAGAGAAGGGAATGGGAGCATGTCACGCCCTAGCTATAGAAGTCAATCTTGGTTCCCTCCATAGAAACTAGTCTCCAGAGACACGGAGCACAGGGGTTCCTAGTGTAACAGACAGACCCACTTCTTTTTCTCTGTACTTATTCTGCTTCTAACACAGCCAGGCCTCCGGGTCAGCAGCAGCCTGCAACCATGGCTTTGTGCAGCCCTGAGGCGTAGCCACTCCCACTGCGTGTGCAGAGTTCCAAGGACAGTTTGCAGGGGAAGGAAGCCCTAAGTGCCTCACCTGAAGGGCCAGCTGAAGCGGTACTTGATGAGCTTATTGAGGATTTCCTCACACTTCTGCAACTCCAGGTTCTGGCGACGTGAAGTCTTCTTCGTTTGAAGCACCTAACGAAGTGGAGCAAGCCATTAAAAGGAGGGGAACCGGCATAGGATTTAACTGTAGCCAAAACAGTTCCTAAGGACTTGCCCACATTGAGGCTTGGTGAGCAGCAAGTCAGGGTGTGACTATACAGCGCACTAAGTCGCTGTGTGTACCCTGCTACCATGCACTAAAAGTTCCCTAATGCACACCAGCAGGGTCATCACGGTAACTTCGTGTGTGGCAGGCTAGTGTGCTGAGCATTCGCTCAGACCCTAGTTTGCTCACTGCATGGACAAGCCCCAAGCGGAGGAAAATAGGAGTAGAATTTTCCTTTTCAATCCTATCACAAGCAGGTGTATCGGTGGGTAGGGGAGACGTGATACTGCTGTAAAAACTAAAGCTTAAGGTGTTCAAACCCCACCATCCTCTCTGCAATAATCGAGAAGCAAACTGCTCGGCTGCGGGAGCTTTGATGCTAGCAGCCAAGAAATGCCATGGCAGCTTGAATTACAAAATGGGAACCCTGTCCAAAAGCTCTGACAGGAATAGTTTACAGGCAGTCCTGTCCTTTTTCCAGGGGCAGGAAGCTTTTTCAAAGAGGTTCAAAGCAAGTGGCCAAAGAATAAATGACAACAAATGGAGCGTGCAAATCCCTCCCCTCCTTACCCCCTGGGTAGACAGCATATGACAGGCAAAGGAGAGGAAGAAAGCAGTTGCGATGCCATGTTAACAGGCCTGCGGCAGAGGCTACCATGCCATTTTAAATCCCAAACAGCAGCTGATGGCCCCAAGCTTTGCTGTACTCGAGAAACGAGCAGTGCACAAGGTCAGCCATTTGTCTAGGGATTTGTAGCAGGTCAGCCACTACTGTACTGGCATCCCTCTCAGCTCTGAAGGGGTCACGGCATACAGATACATTGATATGGAGGGAACTGCAGTAACATCCTGGGCCTAGGCTACAATTGTCAACAAATCAGATTTGGGCTGGGAAGAGGGGCAGGGAGCTAACAGGACCTGTCTCCTCAGCCTAGAGGGTTAGAGAGACAGACAGACATTATTTTACCAAGACACCCAATATTTTACCGAGGTCCACAATTCCCAGCAGCCGACCCTGTTTCGATGAGACCATTCCTCACTCAAAAGGAACCTCTAGCTGGCTCTGGTGCACCTCCCCCGATTTGGAGAGCATGCGAGCAAGCAACAAGCAATGGGCAGCAGGAAAGTGGTCTCCTGTATAGGTTAGCGCAAGGCAGCTACAGAACCACTAGCCGTTCTTTTACCCCACCCCAGGGACCCTAATGCAGCAGGAGCCTGAGCCCCAAGCCTGGCACTCCAGCCCAAGAAGCAAAGGCTGTTGATGGGCACTTTGGGAGGAGCTCCTATGACAGGCCACAACAGCACTGTTAACACTGGTCACTAGATGTACAGCAGATCTGTGGGAAGCGCCTGCGACACTGCACCATGGTGTTAGAAGGCCAATATCCCCAGGTAACCCTAATGGCTACAGCCCCACGACAGTCAGCACAGAACCCCCAGCTCCGCCCTTCCCAGCGCACCCACAGGATTGGCTCTATTCAAACACAAGGTTTTATTCATTAAATGTCAAGTGAAACCTAAACCAGCTAAATTATGTCCTGAAGGTTGGGGAGTGACCGTCCGGACAACAACTGTCAGAAAATGGCCAAGCCCGGGGAGTGAGGGTCCGACATTGCTGGCATTCTATCACCATCCCGGACTCCCCTCTTCCCCCACCTCTCTGCACAGACATATGGATACTATTTAAAACCCTTTAACAAGCTGCAGGCCGCCTGCTAATCAAGGGGGACAATGTGTGAAAGCGGCTGGGGAAGGATGCCTGGCATATCTGTGCTCCGTTTGCGCTGGGCCCTTAAGGATACATGGCCTTTGTTAGACGGACCTCAGCCCCGTGTGGATTTCACAATACAATTCAGGGCATTTCTCTGAGAAGGGGAGGGGAAGGAAGTGACACCTGTTGAGTTTATAACTCATGAAGTGAGCAATCTCCTGGGGGCAATTTGGCTCTTACCAGCTCATCAATGTCTGCTCCGTTGACAGGTGTGGCCCGCTGCCGGGGTCCTCTGGCGGCATGCAGCGACTGTTTCTTCCCTTGGTGCCTGCCTTGCCTGGAAGGGTACATCATTGTGCTCTGCTTGCCCTTGGGTGCCTTTCTGGGTCTCACTGAAACAATCAGACAGTTTTAGGAACAGGTTCACTTTTGGAGAGAAATCAGAGCTCCTCAAACCAAGGAGAGAGGATGACAATGGACAAGAGCCCTTCAGCCTCTTGGCTTCTGCTCCTAATGTTAGGAAGCTGACTGAGATTGTCTCCATCACAGACAATAGCAAAAAATCGCATCTCTGCAGAGACAGTCGCATATAACAGCAACCATTCAAAGAAGAATTCGGTGCCCTGAGTAGTGGCCACATACAGGGTTAAAATGGAGAGTTGCACCATCTCTGCCCAGTTGTACCAAAGCAGGTACAGTCATACTGCTGTCTCAGTTGGCTGGACAGGTGCTGCTTCTCACCAGTCTTTACTCACTTCTGCATCCATTGAGTAAGCCAAGCAATCATATGTCTTCTCCAGGTGAAGCAAATGCCCCCTTTCCAGAAAGGACACTGGTGGTTGGCAAGGACATTACTCCTACTCATGGGTGACCCCACACACACTGCCAGCAAGCCTCTAGTTGGGAGGAGATTTGGATTTCTGAGCAATTTGTGAGCAAGGTTCAGCTGTGGCAGTGTTGAAGCAGAAATGTCCTAGTGCTAAAATCCTGATACCTCCAAGCCCTCCAAGGAGGGTGGGGGGGAAGTGAGTTAAGCCTTGGAGATAACTTACACCTTCCTTTACTGTTCAGACCAGAAATGTGTGGGAATCCCTTGGTTTCCTGTTGTCCGCTTGCTCCCTGCCAGAGTGCGGATGGCTGAATGGGTGCCTTTACAGGCATTTACAAGTGGCCCACACAATGGGATAAGCCAGTTGCTAAGTCCCCCTGAAAAGCTAACTGTGTTCACAGTGGGTGTCGAGTTACTCTGGCAGGGAGCTGCTCCACATGCTGGAATTGGTAAACAATGGAATTTTATTCCAAACATTGGGGCTGCTACATTATGTTCCAGATAAATGATTTTGTCCATTTGTCAGCCTGCCTGTCACCATTTTAAATGGAGGGAATGCAAGCGTGGTGACGAACTGTCTCCTGTCTTAAATTTCTCCTGAGACCCCTGTGCATTGGGTGTATGTTGGTCTTTCTTCCCGAGCAAGCGCCTTCCACCTGGTCATAAATGCATACGAAAGCCATGTCCAACATGCAGCAGTCCTTCACTTGTGGCCTCTAATCCAGCCCTGTCCAATAAATCATCTTGTCAGACCCCCTGCAGGAGCAGCGTGTGTCAGGGCAGTGGGATGTCTGTATACTGTCGCTCCTGCTTGTGTGTCAAGTTCGCAGCATGTGTTAAATGTCTGACAATCCAACATTCTATATTCTATCCTCAGGATAAACGCTACACAAGGATTAACTGGGACTTCTCCACTAAAACAAAAGTTTTCCACCATGACCTTTCCATGCTAATGCCCCGTAAAGCTGGGGGTTGAGTTTAATGCTTTATTTTTAGTGACAGTAACCCTCTTTTGCTATTGTCTGAAAACCCTGGCTTTGGTCCTGGAACTGGAATGCATCAAGGGCTGAACATACTCCAAGTGTGGACATGGATACTCCAAAGAACAAAGAGCAACCTATATCAGAAGATCAAGGAACACCCCACAAATTAAACAAAATGGAAAAATGTGTAAGGCCTGAACCAGCCAGCTGGAGCTCAGTAGTACAAAACACTCCCCAGCTGGAGACCGTTGGGAGAACGTATACAAATCCCCTGGGTCTCAGTCACTGAATTCCATCACCAGCTTTAGCTGAAGAATTTGGTCTGAAGCTACAACTTTCATGTCAATGACATTTCAGCTGAAAGCAAATGGTGTACACGTGCATTTCAGGGAACTTTCCAGTTCATGCTTCCTGATCTACTCCAGTGGGGCAGCATCAACGTCCCAAAAACAAAAGGAAGGAGGTGGAGCATGGCAGGAAAGAAACTGTTGGATTTGGGGTGGAGAAGCATTTGTTTCATTTAGTCTGGAATGCCATTCTGAACCCTGGTGGGTGAAGTAATCTTTCACTGGACCAACTTCTGTTGGTGAGAGAGAAGCTTTTGAGCTTAAACAAAACCCTTCTTCAGGTCCTTGAAAGCTTGTCTCTCTCATGAACAAAAGTTGGTCCAATAGAAAACATTACCTCACCCACCTTGTCTCTATTATCCTGGGACCCACGGCTACAACGACACTGCATACATTTTGAACCCTGTGACTATTTCACTCAGCTGCCTGAGAAAGCTCAATCTCTGAGGACAGTTACTACAGCCCTGTTAGAAACTCCCTGTCAATGTTTGTTCAGTTTGGAGAGGGCCTGACTCATAGAATCATAGAATATCAGAGTTGGAAGGGACCTCAAGAGGTCATCTAGTCCAACCCCCTGCTCAAAGCAGGACCAATTCCCAGCTAAATCATCCCATACTACATACTCATACTACAGTCTGGACAGTAGACACTGGCTGTTCTACAGGAAGTGATAAGTGAAGGTGAATTTTAATAGCATACCAAGGGAACCTCATGGTGACAGGCTAGAATTATACTCTCCACCCCCAATCCCAAACAAGATACTTTTTTTAAATGCAAAACTAAAAGTTAAGTTTTGGGGTGGTGGAGGAAGAGAGACAGCATTCCACTTCCCAGGGACAGCAAATGCTGAAGAGTAAAAAGGCTATTAAATAATCAATCATGCTGCTTGCTAACTCTTCGCTGCTGCAGGCCCATGCTGACAGCTTAGCAGCAGTTTCTAATGGCATCAGCTGTGTATCAAGAAGCGTGGATCAGCACACTGGAATGTGAGCATGCTCCCCCGCCTTTGAGTTGACGTAGTATTTAAATTGCTGCAAGGAGAGTCTCAATCCTGAAGGAGCAAGAGGCACGAAGGCAGTCGATTCCCAGTTCTCCACAAGTACATCACATGTCTGCAGCCTTCTCTGAAAAGAGCTTCCTTACACACCCATGTGAGAACCCAACCTCTTCCGCAGATAGGACACAGCCTCAGACAGGATACATGACAAAGACGGAACAGACTACAGCTGAGCCCACACGATAACTTGTAGCTAAAGACTTACATTTCAGTCCAGCAACCTCATAATCTTCTTCCTCTTCTTCATCCTCCTCAGCATCTTCCTCATCTGGGCCTTCCTCACCCTCTTCAGCCTCCTCTTCAGCAGAATCTTCGGTATAGTTTCTAAAGGCAAGATAATTAGCTAGAGGTCAGACGCTCTGAATAAACTAGCAGAGCCTGGCTAGCCTTGACCCTGGGAGTTTCACTGCATGTTTGTTCAGACACACAGACTTGCTGACCACCTCAATCTAAAACAAACAGTCGCTTCATATTGCTTCACACTGTAGCAATCGGTTCTTTTTCAGCAGGATATCATGTTATAGTTATGGCTGAGGGGGCACTTCCCAGTCTCTTGCTACTTTCCAGGCTATCACTTTGGGGCTGACAGATTTCAGCCCAAATGCTAAAAACTTTCAACAGCTGAATATATGTGCAGAGAGAAACCGCTCTGCTGTTGTCCCACACATCTGAGCGCCATGTTACCGATAACGACATTTAACACTGTTTGCAGTGTAGTTATTCCTCAATAAGGACAAGTGCTTTGGGGTTTGAGGAAGAATGTCAGGATACCACATTGACCATATGCAGTCCTCTTGCCCAGGAAGTACAATGCACGGGGAGCATCTGAAACATTCAGTCACTACCAGCTTACACTGTCCAAGTGCAATGCAGCCAAGGTGGCCTTACCAGACTCTCCACACATTTGGTCAGCCAGTCCTTCCTTGAGTCTTCTCCCTCCAAATCCATACTAAGTTTGTTTGAACATGAGTAGTAACATGAGACTGCAAGTAGTAGTGGAGCAGAGAAGAAAGAAGGCAGCCAGCAGACAGATTGTCAGATCTCCTGGCCGCCTTCTTTCTTCTCCCATTAAAGGGCTGCTTAAAAAGTTTTTGGGAGGAGACAGGGAGAGAAGAGTGTCTCCTTCCCTACTCTATCTCACTGCAGTGCCACTTTTCATGCCCTCCGTGGAGCGGAGCTGATTTAATGTGCTAACAATCAGGCAGACATCACAGCTACATTCCCACCTTTACTGAGCAAAGCACTGAGGGTGCACATGCACAGATGTCATAAAATGCAAAGTTCTGGTTCGCACAGTGAGTCTGACCCTTTGCATACATCTAATCCGAAACAACAACAAAAACCAGGAATAGAGAACAATATGCATACGCAGAAAGAGGCAGAGGTGTGCTTGCTGTGGAGCTACAACTTTGAATTTTCTGCCTTGCATGAGTAAAGTCCCCATCCATTAATTAAATGGAAAAAGACTAAGTTCATGCAACACTAAGAGCTGGAAGGTGTTCCAAGGCCAACATTCTCTCCCCTTCTATTCCAGCTGGGAAGAATAAAGTAGTAAATAGATAAGACAGGTGTTACTCCACCTGATGGCTCACATCCAGGAGCAAAGCAGCTTGCAGATGACTCTGACACATCAAAGCAACTGTGATCTCAGGCTAGAACAGCTGTGTTAAAGCCTTGCCATTTCAGGACAAGCCTGATAAACTCCTTTTAAACAGTGCCCAGAGAGTAATTAATACTGTTAGGCCCATATACCACCTGCATATGACAGTCTAATATACTTTGTATCACTGCTCTGGAGGGGAGGCTGGCTAGGTACCTATTCTTCAGGTGGTAGTTGGTAGCCTCATCCCTCTGGCATAAGTGAAAATGCAAACCACAGACAGTCATGATTAAAAGAGGAGAGAGGGTAGGTATCAAGTCTTTAGAGTTCAAAGGTGAGTGATAAGGTACCACTGGCGATCATGGTCTAAACAAACAGTTATGCTCAACATTGTTCTCTGCTGAGTAGCAGACGATGGGCTCAACCTCTCTCTCTTTTGGATGGACAGGAAAAGCAGTCAGTTCAGGCCACTTCTGAGAGCTCACCTCAGCTGGACGTCAGCAAGGACTGCAGTGCTAAGGAAGCGTGTTCCTATGAGCAAGCAGCCAGACTTGCTGCTCAAATGAGCCGAAGCACCAAGTGAGTTTCAGCACTAATAGCAGCCCTTTATTACTGCAGAGACTTTTTTCCACTGCTACAGTGGAGTTATTTATTTAATCCCCTCAAAATGTCACGGGTCACCACCACACAGGTGCTCTAATGTAAGAGCAGCCTGAAAAGATTGCTCTGCTATTGTTCAAGTGCCATCAGGTAATCTAGGCATTTCCCTCCTCTAAAAGCAGTTACTGATTAAGGACTAACGCTTTTGTCTCTTTGTGAAAGACTCCTTAGTTCTCAGAGCCTGATTAGAATTCCCCCCCAGTGAAAGCATGAAGAGAAAGGAGGATCTCACCTCCCCCGGGAGCTGCGCCTGGCGGTAGAGGGCTGGCAAGCTGGGCACTGCCACTCGCCATCTGGTATCTCGTAGAGTGCTGGTCTCAGACAAAACAGGTGGAAGGCTTTGTTACATTCATCACACAGGATCAGCTTGTCATCCTCACCTAGAAGAAGAGAGAACCTGCATGAAGTTCAGTAGCACAGCTCTGCTTACCCTGAGCAGAAGCAGCTACCATTACAATGGAGAAGGGACAGAGGTGGAGGACCATAAAAACTCCTCAAACAGTATTGCAGCCTTTTAAAGTCTATGCAAGTTTCCCAGCCCTGCTGGATCTGGCTTTGAGCAGCACAGCGCAATTGCCCCAGTAGCAATGCTACCTCTGTGCTCCTCACTAACTTGAGCGAAAACCTATTTTGAGCCAGGTGCTTAGAGAACTTCACAACAGGACTCTCCTCCCTACACCTGAAATTCTAGTTCTGTCAAATCAAGCCAGTTGGACCTAGGTGGGTGCCTTCGACTCAACTAGAGCACCCTCTGCTGGCAATGGACAAAACCGTTTTTGCAATGCTTCAGATCGCCCACAGAGGGGACGCACTGTAGCTGTTCAAGAGGACATCTCACTCAGTCCTCCCAGCTTCCTCTTTCTACTGATGCTTAGCTCCCAAAGGCTAGCCTGAAAGTGCAAAGGGGACTAGCACGAGCCTCTGGCAAACTAGGAGAGAAAGTCTGTGTGGAAACAGAACCTCTGCTGCCCCCACCTCCCATGAGCATTTCAAGAGAGCTCAGCACCTTTCAGCGCACAAATGCAAAACAAGACAGTTACAGTGAGGTGCTATGTGCTACCAGGCTCTTCTCTAAGGGGAGAGAGATGGCTGCTGCCTGTGCACACCTCCCATTCAGAGAACATGGCAGGGTGACTGCTGCTGACTCTCTCTACACTCCCTCCCCCATAACCCCCAATTTACGTAGCTCCCCTTTGCATACCTTCACACGTCTTGCATAGAGGGGGACTCCTCTGGCCCAGGCCAGTTTCCTCCTCCACTTGCCAAAGTAGTAGTAGTTCAGGACACAAGGCCTCATCTCTCTGCCTACCCTCACATGAAGAGCAACAGCCACGAGTTGCTCTCTTCCAGCTCCTTCTCTTCCACCCCCATCAACCGCTCCCTAGAGCTGAGCATAGGTTGATGGTGGATAGCCTCACTCAGCCTAATCCCACCTTGTTCTCCCTCCTTCAATTGTGGGGTGTTGTATTAGCTCCTTTTGTAGCAGAGCAACCAAGAGAAGGGCTCAACTCACAAGGCTCCTAGAAAATTCAAGCCTGAAAGTGTGTGATATGAATACAGACAAGACAAGAATTGTTTTCAGGCAGTCTACTTTGACCAAGTGGAAGAGCACTAACAGAGGGCATATATAAATAGCTCGTAGCATGCAGCAGCTTCACCTATCATCACAGAGCCAAGTTACAGTGCAGGGGGCTTAGAAATATGACAGTTTCATTTAACCACAAACACTTGTGAGAGTTATTTCTGTCAGAAATGCTGAACTCAGAGTAAGCCCTGGGTTTGTGTAGGATGGCATGCACTCTGGATATGAAATGAAGACATGACTGTTCCCAGAAGAGTTTGTTATTTTGAAGAGGCACTTTCATACGATAGGGACTTGTATCCAGGTGATCCAATATTTAGGACACAGTACTTTCATAAACACAGAGACACAGGGAACAGCCCTCTGATGATGTGCAAGGCTAAGAAGAACCCGGTGTACTGCAGAAAGAACCAATGATAACATCTTGGCGTGCAGGAGAGGCTACGGAAATCACAGTTCTGCAGTGTTCTGTACGTTTAATATAAAGACATTTAATTTGACTTTTGGTCTTAGGGCTCCTGACATTTGTGTTTCTGCTACTGAATGAGTGAATCCTGATATTCAGAACAAAAGCACAGCCAAGAGCAGGATGTGGAGAGTCACTACAGGAGCGTGCTGCCCGGGCAGGGCACTGACAGGCACTAGCGTTCCCCACTGTTAAGCAAGCTTGGGGCTGAAATCCATACCTTTCTTGCGACACACTTTGCATCTGGCATTCTCTGCCGACATATCCCATTTGATGCAGGCATCCAGCATCCCAAGCAGCACATGCATGCGGGAGAAGGTCTGGGCCTCCCGGATTGCTGTCTTCCACTTCTCCACCGCTGAAGCAACCTGCAGACAGAACTAAGTTTATACCAAAGCACAGGAACACAGGTAATTATAACTTGAAGACTTTTTACATCTCTTAGTTGGTGCCCTTGTCAGCCATAATTCAGCTATTGTATTTTCTACCTTCTACACAGCCTCACAGTCCTATTTGAGGCTTACCCTCTAATCAGCCTCACTGGGCCAGACATCTTGTTCATAACACTACAGTCCTTTTGTGCTTCATGACCAGCCTGAAACCACCTACACAAACTGCACTACATTCTTTACTTTTGAAAGTCTAACCCAAATACTTGTCAGTCAAAGAAAATAAACAGCGGAATTTTAGCCCCATTAAAAGTAGGATGAAAGTTAAAAGGCAGCTGGCAGGCATTTTTCAGGTCATGACTGCTGAGAACAGTCTGTGCTGCCCTCCAGTGGACACTTGAAGAGCATTCATGTCTGTCAGCAAGATCCATTAAACAGTTTGCCCTCAAAGCTGTTCAGTTGACAGGTGGGTGACAGTGACATCAACCACAGTCAGTTTTGACAGGCAAAGCATTCTGGGCCCCAAATACAAGAACAGTTATTTTCACTGAGCTGCGATAACTTCAGCACATTCGAGGTCCTCCCATTAGCTGCAAATTAGACTATAGTATTAAAACCTGGGCTTTGCACCAGCATGACTGCTGGAGTCTGCACACAGTCAGCCACCCGTGAAATCTACGTTTCAGCACCAGAGGTTTAAACACAAAGGTGCAGTAAGTCGGAAATGCACTAGAACAGAGAAGCAATCCACAGCCTCTGCATGTTCAACTAAAAGGCTAATCCTCTGCTTTACAACGATGAGTCCTAGTCCTGACAGGGACATAATAGGACTCAAGTAAATGTTCCTCTCCCCTAGAAAAATGAAAAAACAAACAGTAAAGTGTCAGATGTGAGAAAACTAAGCTCTGCAGCTGACAGCAATTTGGGAGCCAAACAAAACCCAGGATTTTTGCAGAGTTGCACATTCCCCTCCCACTGACTTCAAGGAAGTGCAGTATATATTGGATGCTTGGAAAAAAACCACACAAAATTGTTTTAACACCCTAATATCCTCACAGTCGCTTGCTGGTGTGGTACCTAGAGCAGGAGACACTGCCAGGGTCAGTGGAAAACGGCACAGAAAGTTGTGGAGATTTCAGGGCATCCCACCATTTTTTGCAGAACATTGTTGAGGTGCTTCACATATTGTGTAATTGATTTTCCAAATAACTGTTCCATGGCTTTTGCAGTTAACATACTGGATCACTGGGCCAAGATACATTTGCAAAAGCTGTTGGCAGATTCTGCTCAGATTTTTCTACCCAAGTCTGTGGAATTTACCAGATCTTTAACACTGTTTCCCAAGCTCTATGAGGCTGGGGCATTTCAGCATTACCAGTCTCCAGGGGAACTCTGTTTATTGTTGCACCTTAACCTGTCAGGCATAGCATGAGAGTCAGTGAAGTTACTTGCATCCTCCTAGCTAGAGGAGACAGAACTCTGCCACTGCAACGAATGAACAAACAGAGGAAAATATCAAGAACAAAAAGGGCGTGACAGGAAAAGCCTGCTCGGAGAAGGACAAAGAGCAGGCTAGAAAGCCTATTGTCTGGCAACCTGAGAATGAAAAAGTTCCCATCTGAATAAATGAGATTTAATTGTTTGTTGCTGAGCTTCACTTAAAAATCCTGGCTGCATTGAGGGTATGTCTACACTGCAATTACAAACCTGCGATTGGCCCACGTCAGCTGAGTCGGGCTCGCAGGGCTGTTTAATTGTGGTGTAGACATTTGGGCTCAGGATGGAGCCAGGGATCTAGGATCCTGCAAGGTGGGAGGATCCAAAGCTCAGGCAGCCTGGTTCCAAATGTCTACGCTGCAATTAAACAGTCCCACAGCTCAGGCCCCGCAAGCCTGAGTCCGCTGGCATGGGCCAGCCCCGGGTGTCTAACTGCAGTGTACACATACCCTTAGTGACTAATGCATCCAAACCGATGGCTAAAAAGCAAGAACTGGCCTGCTGCCTGCTCCCACGCAAATACCATTGACCAGGAGAAGGGCTAGTGATCTGCCCATCCCTCTCATTCTGGTCAGACAGTTGTGACCCTGTACTGTCGGCAGAAGGCACATGGCTAATTCTGTGTGCTCTCCCTAATGTACAGTCTGGGGTACATCTGCTAGTCAGGGCCATTTGCATGGAAACCAAGGCTGGTTTTCACATACTGCCTTAGGTCAGTCAATGTACTCAGTATTTAAGTTCAGGTCCACGCAGGAGCCAGTCTTAGAGGGAAGGCAAGCTACAATTGTAACATTCATTTACATTTCAAAGCTGCAACAGTCACTTTAGTGCTAAACATACCAGATAATGCCAGGTATGTCCAGGAAACTCCCACCAGCATAGCCAGATGTAACTGGTACTTAACTGGCTGTCCTATCAATCTACTGCCAAGACACAGGCATGACAGTAAGAGTTAAGAATTACTGGTAAGAGATCTGCGACTCCAGGGAGTGATTTAGACTGCCATGCTCTGGTAGTGCTGAAATCTAGTGTCACCTTTAAGCTCAACTGGATAATATGAACAGGAGTCACACTAGACAAATTGGGTGGTGCTAGAAGAGTTAGAGAACCACACCTGAACTCTGCTGGGCATGCATTCCCAAAGTGTGTTTAGAATACCACCACTCCAGCTTTTTATTTACAGAGTGAATCTGAATGTTCTAAGCAGTCTCAATAACACTGAAGGAAATTCAGCTATATTAGGAAAAGAAGTCAGTTTTGACAATGGGTGTCAAATTTCTCTATTCCCAGCTCTGGTGTGGACCGGGTCAATCAAGTTCAACACCGATTGGAGCAAAGCATGCTAGACACCTGGCTTTGCTAAGAGGAGTGCTGAGCTCCATAACCCTGGTTCATGGTAACAGGGGTACTGTTTGACAGTGCTAGAAGAGGTGGCAAGAGCAATCCGACCTCTGCTACAGTGGCTGGACACCCATTGTCAAAAATGGCTGAGTTTGGGGTAGATGCATAGACAAACAGCCACCGTTTTGAAACCTGGTTCAGCTCTAGTACTAGTATGGAAGGAGCTAAAGGCTTATCTACTGTTTTTGTACGGCTAGAACTATATCCATTCACAAATTAACGTTCTTAAATCGGTACTACCTCTAGTATGGATGCAGTTCTATAGGTGTGAAAGAATAGCTTATTCTTGTAAATGTTCCTGTTAATATGGGAAGATTAGAATAGAAAGGATCTGGATCACCAGAGATCTATTCACTCTAGAGTTTGTTTTCTAGGATAACTAGACCTTCCCTTTGTGCGAGTCACTCTGTTGCGGAAAAGGCTGGAGGATTCATCAAGAACTAATTAATTGGACTTTTCTATAGGAAACAACAAAAACTGAGGGATGCATCAATTCCCACTGGCTCTGAGCCAACTCCGCAACCTCTCTGAAGGTCACAGCGTAACAGACAAAGGCTCTCATCTCCCTTCTAACAGCGGCTCAGCAATGTTGATAAGAGCTCAAAACATGCAGAAATGAATGCATCATAGGAAGCACCAAGAGGCTCCTGCTCTTTCGTAGTGCTGGAAGCCTCTGTAACTTCAGTGGGAGCAGACTTGGCCAACATGGAGTGCTCTTGAAAGAAATCAGTCATAGGAAACATATCCCCACATAATGCAGTGTACTGAAACTACACAGTGCTCCTCTGTTCCACATCTGCACCAGGGTGGACCTTTTTAGACACCAGACAAGCTCCTTTGATTAGATCAGGCCTGCACAACATGCGGCCCGTGTGGGCTCACTGTGCGGCCCGTGTGGGGTGAGTAGGTAAGCGGCGGGTGAGGGAGGGGGGCCAAGGAGGCAAGTGGGCAGTGGCGGGGGATGAGTAGGGGGGAAGATCTTATTCTACTTCTAGCAAAAAGACATTTTTCTTTTACCTTAATTATACTACCTTAGGAGCCCACTATAACATATTACAAAGGTTCAATACTGCTGTTTTTTAAATTAATGGAGATATCCTATCTCCTAGAACTGGAAGGGACCTTGAAAGGTCATTGAGTCCAGCCCCCTGCCTTCACTAGCAGGACCAAGGTCTGATTTTTGTCCCAGATCCCTAAGTGGTCCCCTCAAGGATTGAGCTCACAACCCTGGGTTTAGCAGGCCAATGCTCAAACCACTGAGCTATCCCTCCCCCCTTTCCCCAGCGGTACTGGGGAAGGAGGGTTTGTTTCCGCAGGGCAGGTGGCGCTGAGGGGGAGAGTTTCGGGGGGGGCTGGGCAGCGCTGGGGGTTGTTTCCGCGGGGCGGGCGGCACTGTGGAGGGTGTTGTGTTTCGGGGGGGGTAGCGCTGGGGGGGTTCGGCCCTCAGCTGTTTTCTTTGGAGTAATATGGCCCTCGCCGCTTTACGAGTTGTGCAGGCCTGGACTAGATGGTTGCAGTGCTCCCACCACACTGCCTGGGGCGGGGGGGGGGGGGAAGAGAGAGAGAGAGAGCGCGCACGCTGGCGCTGCAGCTTCTTTCCAGGTCTTCTTGGCCTCCTGCATCTTAAGAACACCTCTTCACTTCTGCTAATGTAGCTTCTCTGTTGCAGGCAGATGAGCTCATCTCCCTGGCTGGCCAGTCAAACTGCATGGAACCCTCAATTTGGCAAACTCTGGATCTCCCAACCTATCAGATACCTCTGCCCTTGTCCCCTTGCATAGCACCTATCCTACTGCACCCCCACTCCCCAGGAAACTTCAGCACCCCACAGGTCCCTCTCTATAGGAGAGGGGATTGAGAACACTTGGCATCTGCTCTACTAGCCCTTTCCAAATGGATGTAACATTTTCATTAAAGTTTTCTAAAAACACTCCCTGAGAAGTTCTCTTATTTGAAGATCCACCCACAGAGCAGGGAACCTAGGACCCCTACCAGCAGTGTAGTAGAGGCATGGGAACCAGAAAGCTAAATGCACTAACCAGTTTAATGCTTTTTAGGGAGGGAATAAACTATGGATTCTAAACATGATTTTTATTGTGACAGCACCCATTTTAGAACGTATGAGGCAAGTCACCCACCCCACAATACTGATTTGATTGCACACAGAACCTGAAACGGGGCAGGATAAGAGGAGGCACTGGGCTTCATACTAGATGGAGTAAGCCCAAAGAAGAGCTATTTAAAAGAAGAAATGGATCCTACAGTAACCAATAATACCTTGGCTTCTTCTGCCATTTTCTTCTCTTCATCTACCTCCTCCACCTTGGCAACAGAATCCTCTCCTTGATGTTTCCTTCTCTTCTGCTTAGGGGCCATGAAACCTTGTAGGAACTTCTTAATGACACTGGCCTGGAGAGCAATCACACATTCCCCAAAATCCTTTAGGCTCTCCAGCGAGCATACCTGTTGGGAACACCACAAAACCATGTAATAATAGGACAACCTACCCTAACCACCATCCCGAATAGGCTAGTCCTGCAAGTGTAGACCAGTGATACAGCATATTTCTGTTGCCACCAAACAGGTTGTAGATTCCCAACTCAAGGTGGTGGTCTTCCTGGATAACACTGACAACACAAGCAATCTATAAAAATAGAACCCATATTTTTAAATGCCTCTCACCATGGTAATTAAGCACCAGAGTAGACTTCAAGTAGCTCATCCATTTAGGTACGTCAGCAGCCTAGGTTCCTTGACCAAAAGTACTCCAGAGCATTCAGAGGCAAGAGGGGCAAGGAAGTGAATATTTTTAAAAGTTGGCTACGGACTTTCAGAGGAGCTCTCAGCAGCTGACTTAGCTTCTCTATCAGTACTGGCAGATGTGGTGAAATGTCGCTACAGGAAGGCCAAAAGAATTGAAAACTGCCAGTTCAGGGTCATCCTGAGGGCTTGGAGCAGTTTTCAATTGTTTTGGCCATCCTGCAGTAACATTTCACCACAAAAACCTGCCAGTACGGATAGAAAAGTTAAAACCACTGCTGAGAACTCCCCTAAAAGACTCCCCTCTAAAAAGCCATCCAAAGTTGTGGGAAATTAGTTGATTTAACAGTTTTACTGGATCTCCAGCCTCAAATTTAAGGTGGCACTTATGCCGAGAAACGAGCTACCAGTTCTTATCTAGAGGTTGGTGATGCATTTGGCGATACCACTATGGAAATGCAGTACACAAAAGGGAAAGTCACAACTGAATTTCTAGAGCTATTTGCTCAAGGGAATACTTAAGAGCAGGAGCCCATAATGGTTACAAGCCCTGGTGTGCCAGAACTTTGTCCTAGTTTTTCACCTTCAGAGCTACTACAGGGGCATAAGTTTAATTCCTGTGTTCCCTTACCCTGGCTTCAAACTCCGACGTCTCATCAACATATCCCAGCCCTCCTTTCTGTAGCCGAGTTGCCACCTCAATAAGATCGCTACGGAGGAAGTTGAGCAGCTCCTGATTGCCATCACAAGACTTCAGGCCCAGGTTTTGTTTCCGAGCTAAGTGGATGGAATGCGTGAGGTCCTGATACCTGGAAAAATCAAGAGACCACCTTTTGAACAGATGCAGGCTACTCCACAGCACGTAGTCAGTAATGGCTGGAGTATGCTGGAGGGAACAGCAGAAGCCCAAATTTAATCTGCACACTTCATCAGCTACAACTGTACAGAACTATCAATTTTCAACAGCATGCTGTAGCCCTGCCGCTGAGGAGCAGTGCCCTTATTTCCAGCTGTGACCGCAGCAGTTTAAGAGCTGACACGGTGTCTTGGTGGCTCAGACTTTTGCTGATGGAGAACTCATAATATGTTCCTGAAAAGAAAAGCAGCCCCTCTTCCCGCCCCCTTCCTTTATACGCACATGATCCTAGCTTTGCTTTGTGCACCCATGCTGGTACCAGGATGGTTTACCCTGAGCAGAACGCACCTTGCAATGGGCAAGGTGTATGCACAGTAGAGAACAGTGGCCTCACCTTTTCTGCAGCCGCTCCTTCAGCTGGCTCTCTCTTATTCCCTGGGGGTGCAGGCAATCCAGCAGCTCATCCAGCTCCTTCTGACTATCACAGAGAAACCTGAAAGACATAACAAGCATTGACACCAGCTCTGCTGCCTTAACAGGGAGGATAAAAGCCTCCTCTGAGATGGTCAGTCCCGCTCCCTGCCTTGCAGGTATTTGTGAGTTATGCCCAATCCCCACCAGGCAAAGTGACAAATCATTCCAGTTGTATTATGGTGGTACAGAGGCCTAAAGTTGCCCCCATTTGCTATGTCTAAGATGCAGCTAAGTCTAGGGTGGAGAAAAAACAGAAGACGGGTGGGGGGGTAGTTTTATTTAATTAAAAATAAACGTATATTTTTAAGGCAGCAGGTTTCTGTTCATACGTATCTACCCTGACTCCCCTCCCCTGCCTTTGAATGTAGAATAAACCTTAGGGAACTCCCTCTCTTAACCCTCACCCAAGTGCTGTCCCCCTCATCTTGCTCTCCAAGCAATGAAAATGTGGTTACCTCCTCAGCAAGGTGTTAGTGAGATTCAGCACTAATGACAGTCCCCTAAACACAGGTAGTGCTGAGACCTCACCCTAAGTCTCTTACTAGAGGGGTGTGATTTTTTTTCACTTAAACTAAACAAATCAACCTCCCTGTCTTCTTCCCCAAACCCTACTCTAACCTGGGAGAATCCAAGCTGCATACTTGAGATGTTCCTAAACCCTCCTTTATTTATTAAACAGGACAGAGCCATTTGGGAAATAACTTTGGTTGTTTGTGACCTTGGGGAAGGCAGTAACAGGTCAGGTCATCTGTCCCCAGAGACTATGCAAATGGATTACTCACAGCTTGTTACCAACTAGCATATATGCCCCTTCCCTCAGGCATCAGGACCCAGGCAACCACCACAGCATGCCTGAGAAATATTCATATATCAGACCTCTGCAGGCCAGCCACTTGGAGCTCAGCCCATGCCTTTACCATAGCACGGTTGGTCCTTAGGCGCTTCTGTAATACACATGATTTAATAATACCAAACATTACACATTGGATGTGGAGTCTAGATCTGATGCCAAATTCCAGAGAGCTGTTGGACAATTCTTAGCTAGCTAGGTGTAGCGTAGCTTGCTTTACATGCTCCCATGCCTTGTGACACATGAGGCAACCTAGTATTTCCACTGCTGTCCGTCTAGTGACACATTTTTTGCTCCATTCTAGTCAATTTCCAAGACTGCGGCATCTTTCTCAATAGTTTTCTTATGTAGTTCGTTGTCCTCTTCTTTTCCATATTCCATGAGGTGGTATCCCGTCAGGAGCTTCTCCAGGAATGCAGTTTTTAGACACTCTTACAACATGTCCAAACCACAGCATTTTCTCGAATCATTGTCACATCATTGTAGGTGTAGTTAGGACTCCTTAGACCCTTCCTGTTCAATATGGGAACCACTAGCTAGTCACCGTAAGTGGTATCTGCACAGAGACTCAGTACCTTACAGTAACTAATTCTTTCATGTTTTGTTTGCATAAGTCCCTGCTCCTTCATAGAACATCTCTGCTAGGAGTCTGGAGTAGTGAGAGAACTGAGAGGCAGTTGGGGCTACTCAGTCCTTTATACCCTTGGGTTTTGGTGGGGGAAGCATGAGGACATGCAGGGCACAGGCATGGGCCCAGCAGACAGCGTGGTCAAAAGATTCGCATCTCATGCACACCATAAGTGGAATCCACACAGACAAAACATCTTAAACGAAGATACAAAGCCAGTCCTCTCTTTAGTTCTCATTTTTGTCTCAGTAAGTCACATTTGTTTTATTGGACTAACTTATTCTGTAGCTGTATTGCTAGAATGAGTCAAACCACTAAAACCAGCAGGCTCGAATTTTCAAACACTTATTTTTTCCCCCGTGGATTTTATATTCAACAAGTTTTATTATTCTTTTAAAAATACAAAAAAAAAATTTTAAAAACAACCCCGCCCTCCCGCAGCAAATACTGTCTTATGCCAAGAGGATCTGTAACAGTCTCTTTCTAGTGGTCCACCTGTATCTCTTACATTTACACACAACATAAGGGGAAACAAGTGGGGAATATTCAGTTTGGCTGATTAGAACGGTTATGGAGCGGTACTAGCCATTCCATAGTCCAAGATGCATAACTATATTTCCAATTTAAACCCAAAGTTGGCACTCCCTCCCCACTACACAAATAAAGGAGTATCTGCCTTAATGTCAGTAAATTAAGTCTGGAGCTTGCTGGAGCGGAGGTAGAACTTTCCTATCAAATTTGAAGTGAACTGAACAAGGGGTTCCATGGCACCCTAAAAAATACTGGGTAACAAAAAACATTTGGCTACTGAGAACAGTTTACATGTAGTTGAAATCTAATGCCTGGCACTAAAGATCAGTCAATTAAACTATTTTAAAATTGTAATTTCACAATGCTCCAATAGTCCCCGCACACAACCTCTGCAGGGGGGCTGGACTGTCAGATTCATACTACTGCAGATCTGCCAGCCCTGCTAGGAGATCCTCTGTTCAGGGAGCCCTTATGGAGCACAGTTCCGTTATGCACATGAGGTATGGGAGCTTTCACAGAATATCAGGGTTGGAAGAGACCTCAGGAAATCATCTAGTCCAACCCCCTGCTCAAAGCAGGACCAATCCCAACTAAATCATCCCAGCCACGGCTTTGTCAAGCTGGGCTTAAAAGCCTAAGGATGGAGATTCCAGCACCTCCCTAGATAACCCATTCCAGTGCTTCACCACCCTCCTAGTGAAATAGTTTCCCCTAATATCCAACCTAGACCTCCCCCGCTGCAACTTGAGACCATTGCTCCTTGTTCTGTCATCTGCCACCACTGAGAACAGCCAAGCTCCATCCCCTTCAGGTAGTTGAAGGCTGCTATCAAATCCCTTCCCTCCCCCCCCCCCCCCCTTCCTGCAGGCTAAATAAGAGGAGAGGCTGAGGGAACTGGGCTTAAGTCATGTGCCCCAGACTCCTAATCATTTTCGTTGCCCTCCGCTGGACTCTCTCCAATTTGTTCACATCCCTTTTGTAGTGGGGCCCCAAAACTGGAAGCAATACTCCAGATGTGGCCTCACCAGTGCCAAATAGATGGGAATAATCACTTCCCTCGATCTGCTGGCAATGCTCCTACTAATGCAGCCCAATATGCTGTTAGCCTTCTTGGCAACAAGGACACACTGTTGACTCATATCCAGCTTCTCATCCACCGTAATCCTCAGGTTCTTTTCTGCAGAACTGCCGCTTAGCCAGTCGGTCCCCAGCCTGAAGTGGTGCATAGGATTCTTCTGTTCCAAGTGCAGGACTCTGCACTTGTCCTTGTTGAACCTCAAATTTCTTTTGGCCCAATCCTCCAATTTGTCTAGGTCACTCTGGACCCTATTCCTACCCTCCAGCATATCTACCTCTCCCCCAAGCTTAAGGTCATCTGCGAACTTGCTGAGGGTGCAATCCATCCCATCGTCCAGATCATTAATGAAGATATTGAACAAAACCAGCCCCAGGACAGACCCCTGGAGCACTCCGCTTGATACCGGCTGCCAATTAGACATTCAGCTGTTGATCACCACCTGTTGAGCCCGACAATCTAGCCAGCTTTCTAGCCACCTTTAGTCCATTCATCCAATCCATACTTTAACTTGCTGGCAAGAATACTGTGGGAGACCATAACAAAAGCTTTGCTAAAATCAAGATATATTATGTCCACCTCTTTCCCCATATCCACACAGAGCCAGTGATCTCATCATAGAATCCACTGGTTGGTCAGGCATGACTTGCCCTTGGTGAATCCATGTTGACTGTTCCTGATCACCATCCTCTCCTCCAAGTGCTTCAAAATGGATTCCTTGAAGACCTGCTCCATAATTTTTCGAGGGACTGAGGTGAGGCTGTAGTTCCCTGGATTCTCCTTCTTCCCTTTTAAAAGATGGGCACTACATTCGCCTTCTTCCAATCATCCAGGACCTCCACTGATTGCATGAGTTTTCAAAGCTCTGCAGGAGCTTCTGTAATTACTACCAGCTGCCCATGAATGGCAATCTCTGCACTTGTAGAGGGAGTAAACCTTGCAGTAATGAGTTTGTGAGCACCAGTGGCTATGCCATAAACTAGGCTGTAGACTATGCAGGACAGAAGCTGAAATTGCTGTGCTATGCAATGCATAACATACCAATCCTTTCCAGCACATCAGACTGATTTTTCAGTTTACTTAATTGGCTGTAACTTAGTGAATCTAACCCTTGGGATAAATGGCTGTAAATTCAAATGCCAATTTTAAACAAGTCTAATCTTAGAACATAAGAACAGCCACACTGGGTCAGAACAAAGATCCATCTAGCCCCGTATCCTGTCTTCCGACAGTGGCTAATGCCAGGTGCCCCAGAGGGAATGAACAGAACAGGCAATCAAGTGATCCATCCCCTGTTGCCTATTCCCAGCTTCTGGCAAATAGAGGCTAGGAACACCATCCCTGCCCATCGCGGCTAATAGCCATTGATGGACCTATCCTCGATGAATTTATCTAGGTCTTTTTTGAACCCTGTTATAGCCTTGGCCTTCACAACATCCTCTGGCAAAGAGTTCCAGTTTGACTGAGTTGTGTGAAGAAATACTTCCTGTTTGTTTTAAACCTAGGACTCCATGTATGAGCTTTGCCAATATACCTGGGAGGTCAGAATAGAGAAAACATATTACAAATAATTCAATGTCCAGATTGTCTGCTGCCCTTCATAGCAACTCCTGACAACAACAGGTCCTTCTAGGAGGTGGAATTGGAGCAGTCTCAGTGTCACCATCTCCTCGGGTGGGGAAGTGGGGGAGAAAGGGTTGAGAGGAGTCTCTTGTGATCTTGGAGTCACTTCCTTCCAATCTTCCTCCTGAGCCTCTGCCTCTTTCCTCACAGTCTCTCGTTCCCTTTTTGAGGTCTACTGCACTGAGTGGGCTAGTCATGGACCTAGTTGGTGCAGTGGACCCCAGGCCATTTGTAGAAGCAAGAGGGACAGGAGCATCTCCTACAGAAGTGGGACCAGAATGCCCAATAAGACTAGGGTGTAAAGCCAAATGGATAAGACTGAGACAGTGCTATGGCTCAAAGTGATGTCTGACAAGAGATGTAAGGATGTTTTGCTGGAGATCTCTGGGCAGCCCTAAAGACTGTTGGTGATTGAGAGGATGATCTGAGAGTTGCTCAACTCAGGGAATCCTTGGGGAGGGGAAGAGGGGGATGGATGTCTGGAAAGGGTCTCTGCTTGATTCTGGAGGAAGTTTGAGAGTGAAGAGGAGGAGGAGTATGTCTGTTCTAGAGGTGATGTTGACTATTCTTCTGCACTGCATTGAATACCAGTACTGAGGGTATAATTCTTCCTGGTGTTGGTGGCATTAGTACAGAGGACAGTGCCAGGGGCTCAATGTCATTAATTTGTAACAGATTTGCAAGTACTGTTAAGGATTTCTGTATGGTAACAGGACTGGTAGGGAGAGTGGGGCACTGGTACTGGGCTTCGATGTCTGTATGGATTTAGTTCCACTTGCAGCCAGTTGAGACAAATAATCAGCCTTTCACTAAACTCTCCAGGGCAATCAGGCCTCTGTGCTCATGATTCAGAGGAGACAGGAGGTCCATAATTCCCCATTTCTTTCACCTCACCCATTCTGGGGAAGGAGACTAGTAGCTTGAGTTGCCCTTCAAGAGCAGCTCAGATCTGCCTTACCTCAATGTGAGCAAACAATACCAGGCTTTGGCACCAAGCTCTGTTTGGAGGATTAAGTCAGCTGAGATCCTCTCTGTACTGGTGATGGCAGCCCTCTAGGTAGAGTCCCTACTAATAGGGGTGCTGAAGAAGTGGGATCTCTGGAAGGCGAGTCCCTTTATGGAACTGGAGGAGCATCTTTCTGAATCGGATGCTCTCCTCATGGATTGCGCCAGTAGGTAGAACTTTAGCCATCAATTACTTTGAAACTGTCAGTTCTGATGGAGAAGACCAGCCTACAGAGCAATGGCCAAGGGTACCCATCAGTTGATGGAATAAGCCTGTCACATGACAGGCACAGCTTGCATCCACAGGGTTAGCCTCAGCCATTTGGTGGAATAGCACCTTGGTGATGAGTAGTAATCATCAGAAGAAGGAAAGAAAATATAAAAAAAATAAAGGGACTTCCAACAGGAAAGTGTCCATAAACTAAGCAACTAAACTAGTTAATAGTAATTAATGTTTATGAAGTGTTTCAATTAAAGGGTGCCAGTGGGTGGGAGGTAGAGACCACAATGTTCTATCTCAACGCCACCAGCACCAACAGGGAACTAACAGGCAATTGGGGCCACTCTGCTCTATGTGCCTTCACTGCAGGAGGGTGATGAGCACAAGGAAATGCAGGGCACAAGCATGGCCCCAAAGGTTACTGTTGGTCAAAAGATTCCAATTTCTCATGTACCGCAAGTGGGAGCCACACAGGCTATTATAATTTAAGCAAGGTCACTTCTCAAACAAGGTCATGTGCATGGTATTAAAGACAGGATTAGTATTGTAGGTAGACAGACATGTTCTTAGTGGACCAGAATAAATAAGTGTTTTGGCTGTTGTACCAAAGAATGAGAATCTCAGAAAATTAAAATAAGAAAACCTATTCAAGTCTGGCTTTTTTTAATCTACTGATTTAAAAATCACCCTATTCTAGCAGCAGCAATTCAAAGTCTTACTATCTCTTGGCTCATCTGTCTTTATTACCCACAATAACCAGTAGCGCATGTTACACTTCCAAAGTATAGGATTGGGAGGCTACCAAACTAATTCAGCAACTGAACAGGACAATTGAAAAAGCAATAGCTGTAATTAGATGGTTATTACAAAGGGACCATCATACATTAAGAATAAAAAGCATTTGTTCAAACAAAAATATTACTGGATACTCCTATTGTGTCTAACTTCACTACAGAACCACAATACACAGTGTGTGAAACAAAATGGAATGGTCACCTCCTTAAAGATCAGAGGGTCCTGTGGCACCTTTAAGACTAACAGAAGTATTGGAGCATAAGCTTTCGTGGGTGAATACCCACTTCATCAGATGCAAGTAATGGAAATCTCCAGAGGCAGGTATAAATCAGTATGGAGATAACGAGGTTAGTTCAATCAGGGAGGGTGAGGTGCTCTGCTAGCAGTTGAGGTGTGAACACCAAGGGAGGAGAAACTGCTTCTGTAGTTGGATAGCCATTCACAGGCTTTGTTTAATCCTGATCTGATGGTGTCAAATTTGCAAATGAACTGGAGCTCAGCAGTTTCTCTTTGGAGTCTGGTCCTGAAGTTTTTTTGCTGTAAGATGGCTACCTTTACATCTGCTAGACACCACAGTACAAATAAGCGATGGCCACGTTACCACCACCCTATACCGAAA